CTTCTTTAGAAAAAGAGAAAACGAATGAAAATTCAAACAAAAAATATTTTCTTTTCAAAATTCCCAAAGTTCCAATCAAAAGAAAAGGAATTTTTAGAAGTCTTTCTTTCAAAAATAAAATCAAAATCAAAATCAAAAATCCAAAAAAAAAATTTCTCTTTCTTCTTTTAAAAACATTTTTTAGAAGATTCCAAAAGAAAAAAAATCAAAAAATCAAAAATGTTTTTCTTTTGCCTTAAAGCTCCATGGTCTGAATTTTATAAAAAAAAAGAGTTAGTTTACTCAATTTTCCAATCTTCCCGAACTATGCAAGATCTAATTCATGCGGGGTCATGATACGTAGGCAATCCCCATCGGATTCGATCACAACCATAAAATAAATTGAGTGAAAAATAAACTGAAAAAAATTGAGTGAAAAAAGAAAGAAAAAGTGAAAAAAAGAAGAGAAAAGTGGAAATGAAAAAAAAAGAAAAAAAAGAAAAAAAGAAGAAAAAAGAGAGTGCCAAAATAAATGAGCGGCAAAAACGAGATGAAAAATCAAGAGTGACTAAAGAGAGGCAAAAAGAGGTACATACTGAAAGGGTTAGTTAAGGCCGGGATGAAACATGCAACTGTGCAAACACACGGTAAAAGCGTTTAACTGTTAGGTGCATTGCATCCTAACGTGCGATTTCCTATATGTTAAATGTCTCAAAACTAACAAGGTTGTTGTGTGAGCAAATTAGCCAGGTTCTGTTCAGGTGGTTGATTTTGTTGGTATGCGATGATGAACGCGCAACTTTGCACGCGGCCACAACATTATACACAAAATCAAGCTCTACCTCCCAGAAATGCCCATCCTTACCAAGCTCCACATAATCCCCAATCAAATGTTCCCCAGTACAATCCCCGCCCAAGAGAGCCTTTCAAAAGGAAAATTTCACCCCTATTGGTGAATCATACTCGGGCTTGTTCCAAAATCTAGTCAGGCGAGGTCTGATACAGCCAGTGGCCCCAAACCGGCCAAACCCCTAGTCCCTCTCGCACCGAGCTGATGCTAGATGTGAATACCACTCTGGAGCGGTAGGAAACAATACAGAGGACTGTTGGACCCTGAAAAAAGGGTAGTTGAAGATTTGATTGAAGCTGGAAGAATCATTTTTTGGGACAAAGAGGCTCCTAACATGATGAACATTCCTCTGCCTACTCACACTAATGGGCCAGTAGTCAGAATGACTTGTGAAGATAAGAAATTTGATTTGGCACTGAAGTCCATTGCAGCCATTGCCGAGACAGAAGAAAAGTCAAAAGACGGTTGCAAAGTGTGAAAGTTCTCTATCAGACGGGAGTCTCAGTAGCCAGTCTTGCCATCCTTTCTACAGCCGAATTATCTCAGGGTGTGATCCGGATGTTTTACTTTATTATCTTACTTTCCGATGTAAACCCTTCTATCTTCAAAAATAAAATAAAAAAGGAAAAATTAAAAAAAAAATCAAATGAAATTAATATTTCATTTTCCAAGAATGTCTCTTTTCTTAATCT